AAAAGCATATAACGTGACGTCATGACAATAGTCACAAGGCTACTTTTTCTTCATGTTTAAAAAGAAAAATTTTTGTTCGTTTTAATTTTTCGACTACAAAAAGTATCGTTGCATTATTTCACATTAAAATTCCATTTTGAACTAGCAACTTTAATGCCAATCATATAAACTTATAGATTAAAAAAGCATATAACGTGACGTCATGACAATAGTCACAAGGCTACTTTTTCTTCATGTTTAAAAAGAAAAATTTTTGTTCGTTTTAATTTTTCGACTACAAAAAGTATCGTTGCATTATTTCACATTAAAATTCCATTTTGAACTAGCAACTTCTACCGTCACATCCACCTTGTCCAGCAAAATTTGCACTGCTCCGAGGTTAGTTGTGACAAGCACAAAACTGCCGGTGCCCGTGAGATTCTGCCAACATTTTTCAAATGTTAGTAAAATTCTGAATACACTGCTAACAAATGTTCGCCACACATTCCACATTCATTATGCATAACCTATTTGCTTCAATACATCTATCTTTTTTAAGTAGTGAATTACTTGCTTTTCATGCGAATTTCTCAGTCAACTTAAAACTGATATGCAAACCTTAATTATTCAAGTAACAGTATTATCTAATTATAAAATAAAATAGCCTTTGCAGTTTTTTGGCAACAGTAATTCTTTTTTACCTCCCTCAGCTTCGCCATCATCTTTTCCAATTCTGTTTTGCTTCTTATGAAAAAAGAACTACAAACAAAACTAAGTCAGGCCAGCCGAAAGGTTCATATTGTCACCTACACATATTGCTGTATTTTACAATTCATTTTTTCATAATAAAGCTCTTTTATGTAATTCTAGTAACTTGCAGAAATAAATAAAAAATAAACCTACTTATATCGCTCATTTTTATGTTTTTGCATAATGTTTTTTGCAAGTTTTTCGAGCTGCTTCCCATACTCGCCGTCAAGTTCCGCCTTCTTCCGATAGTAATCATTTAGTTCCAATAAAATAGCAGTCTGCAACAAACATTTCTTACGAAAGTTTTACAAATATATGCATGAGATTCCCTTTCCCTCTACCTCATTAATCAATGATGAATTCCATTCGTGACAGCTTATTACGATGCCAAATTTTCAAAAGAATAAAACACTACTCTTGAAAAAATATTGGAATTATACAGAATAAAAATGCAGTTAATGTGATTTACCTGCGCTTCTGTTCGAGTTTCTAAGCAACGCAATTGCTCATTTAACTGGGAGCGAATTTCTAAAAATTTAAACGGTAACTGAATACGATGTTAAAAACGATATACAAGTTAACCTGCATCTTCAACTGCATTTCATACAAATTCATATTAAATATCAACAGTTTTTTGCTCAAAAACTGAAACAAAATATTTTGTTCTTAATGAGAAAAATGTCTAATTAATTCCTCAGTCGCATCATAGCGAGTGCTGGAAGAAAATAATGATTGGAGTTTTCACATAACACAATTTTGTTGCAACTGAGTATACATTATCCCAAATTTACAGCGCAGTGGTAGAAAAGTTAAAGCGAAAGAAAAAAAAACATGTATAAAACCAGAAATTTATGCCATTAAATGCTTAAAACATCTATTAAACTACTGTTCCATTCCGTATAGAAACATTAGTAGAATAAAACAACTGTCCAATCTTCTAATTTTATTAAAATCTCACATTAATTAGCCTTTCATATTGCATGTTTGAAGGCAACTATGAACATAAAAACTTCGCTTACGTGTTTCCATGAGGTTATTAAATGAAATAATCTTTTAAATATGGTTTTATGAAGAAATTACTAATAGTGTTACGCAGTTTTATCTGAACAGAGAAAAAGAACTAATAACAATTTCTAAAAAAGGTAAGAAAGCAGCACAACCAGAAGCAATTAAATTGATAACAAATAGAATTTGTAGCAAAAGAAACGGGAGACAGACTAACGACTTACTGCTCATATCAACAATCTGTTCAACCGTACGACTATTAGCCGTACACAGCACTGCTCGAACCATTGAATTCCTAGAAATTTATGCAGGCACAATATAAAATACTATCAGTAATAGCAGAAGGCTGTAGTGATAGCACTTTAAAATTCGTATATCCAGAACGGCAAGGAAAATATAGCAAATCTTGGACAAATCCCAACCCAAAACTGCAAGCAATAACAGCATGGAAATTTAGCAACAAAACGATCGTCTATTCATCCTTTCACAAAACAGAAATTTTTATTTTACACCAACCAACCAAAGCTAATTTTTTTAAGTCCACTGCCACCATGTTTAGTCACTGGCTAGGATGCATTTTATCTTTCCTAATTAGTCCAATCTTGGCATTTATTTTATAGTCATGGTTGCAGATAAAACACCTCTTTCATGAACACTAAAAACACGTAGCAATGCAATGATAATGTAAATGTAGATGACAGTTATGCTGTTGCATTCTTGGGACAAGGGCAATAAAACAAACAATTCCAGAGCTACAAGAAGGTATTCCCATACACACATCAAAGTGCAGCAAAAATGGGACGCGTCTTAGATAATGCAAAAAAAGAATTTTCTGCTAGGAAAATTAAACTATTTCCGACAAAATAAATCTTAGCAGCAAAATATTGAGAGAATACAATAAGCAATGCAAAATCTTTTTACGGAAGATTCTAATGACTTCAGTACATTCCTACTTCTCATACTCTCACTGCTTACTATTACAACTGCAATTGTATTATTATTTTATTATTGTTTTGTTATCAATATTAATGGTGACAATGGTCTAATCGAATAGTAATACCACTACTCATAAATGAAACACACAATTATTTCGTAGCATGAATGGCTGCCTCAGAGCAGTAATGAAACGTTTAGCAAATTACTATCACTAGCATAACTAGGTTGTAGCATACGATACACCTACACCGCAGGAGCAACAATAAATAAGGTGTTACTCTGAGGAGAGATCAAAGTGAGAAATGACTGTAGAGTCTCGTAGCGAAATGGCTTCAGTAATTCCAGTGAATACTGTACTCACTTGCATCATGAGCTTCATTTACAAAGACTATTAAATACTATGCTGTAGAGAAATTCGAGCATCAAGAGTAACGGCCAGCATCTGAAGCATATCGTTGCCAGAATATTATCTTTAAAAGCTACTTGATGAGACGCTTTAACAAGAATATATATATACCCATTCTCCACTTCGAAAGTTGTAAGATCCCTTATACATCACAGACAGGGGGAAAATTTACTCAGGTATACGCAAAACACATACACACTGAGGCATACACAGAAATACGATCAATGAAATCGTTCCTTATTAACAAGTCTCGTAATTTGTTAACAGCAATAGCATGACGATGAACGAAAATGAGAGATGCATTTCGGAAGTGGCTCAAATGAACAACCCGATGACTCATAGAGCAATAAGAGTAGAACAGCGATAACTCGAAACCCCGACCCGAAACACGTGCCTCAATGCATAATATAATTGTAATCATAATCCTTCCACCTCCTGTCTTTTATCCTCCATTCTCTGCTCCTCTCCTCGTCTGCTTTTTTCTTTTCGTACTTTTTCTCTATTTTTTTTTTCTCAACCTGTTAGAGATGATGGGAGCGAAAAGGGACCAAATGCCAGCCCTAAATAACTAATGAACATAAAAATTCAATAGTATCACTAGATCCTGAACTTCTTATTCCAGGTGGACCTGAGTGCTTATGCTTATTGCCTCCAAAGGGTTGACTCAGCAGAACTCAGAAATTTAAAAGTAATCGAATAATCAATCCTCCTCTAACGACTACGAAAAATTTACTACTAAATTGGACCGTTTGAATAATACATAACTTGTTAATAACCGTTAAATGATTCTTTCAAACTTTTCTTCCATTACATTTTGTATTCACATTTTTTTTATTCTTTTCCACCTTCCACTTGAAAATTAGAATTTTTTCCATGACTATGAACTTTAATTCATATCTGCATTCTCAGCTATCATAATTCCAGTAAACATTAAAGCTAACAAAAGAATTCGTAATATAGAATAAACTAAATGTTCGTCTCGTGTTCTCTTCATTCTAGGTAAAGTTCAGTCATCTTGAATGAATGTCAAATTAAAAGTAAACGAACTAACTTAGAGGAAGAAGCTTGATAGAGTTTTAAATAAGTAAATGATCTCTATGCATTTGATTCTCTAATTAATAGATAAACAAAGCAATGATGAAATTTCAAAAATCTGAAGCAACGCAAGATTTTTTTTTGGGAGGAGTGTCTAAATTCAACTTCGTTATTTCTGTTAGAAAATTGAAACAAGAGAAAAAGTAATCATATGAAAAGCAGCAAAAGCTAATAAAAGAAGCTTACCTTTGACAAGATGTTCGAAGTTGTGGAGCGTGGTTTTGCTTTTGGTTAACGACATCTTACGGATATCATTAATTGCTGTCCCTGAACCCGGCACTGTCATATCTGCCGGGACACGGAAACTGAAATGTTGGACCGATATTGATGTATAAAATTGACAACAAAGTTCGTACGTGCGAACATCTCAGTGCACGATAAAAATTTCTATAGCTTCCTACAGTGAAGATTCTAATAACGTACTGCCGTATGAATGCATCACAACGGGAAAACAAATGTTAAAACTTGGCAAAGCCCAGTCATTCTATAAAGCTCTTCGAACGCAACATCTTAAAAACGCTTTGTTTTGTTAATAATGAGAATTTATTCTGTTGCTTTCAAAAATTTCGCGGAGTTATAGACAGATTATTTACATCATTAACTTTAGGACAATATAGAATTAGGTAAAAAAGATGCTGTGAAATTTGCAAGAACTCGGCCAACCGTTAACACTCTGACAACTGCGTTGATGATATGTCCAGATTTTGCTACGACAGCACACTATTTATTTACAAATAAACTCGCAAAAAAACACAACCTAAGAAGCAATGTAATTCAGTCTTGTTTAAAATAGAACTTCTTATTGTTTGCAAACAATACAAGAAAAAATCGATAAGAGAGATAAGGCTATCGGGCATTAGCGCAGTAAAGAAAGCATCCCATTCTTCTCATAAAAAGCAAAGATTACTTTAAATGAGCATTTTGTAAATTTGTAATTGTTATAGGGATTAGAATTTCAAAAAGGTTTTCTATCCCGAAAGAATAATACGGAAAATTTGGCATCGATAGGTTTCCGTTAAATCCGATAATGAGACTACCAGACGGTACATTTTAAATATGCCGAAAACCAAAGTTTATGCCCATATCCATCCTTACAGCATGCTTCACTTTCGTTCGCATATATCATTTTCCTCTTGCAGCTCGTTGATGCTCACCCCAGTCTTCAGCAACCTCCCCTCCCTCTTCCCTTCCCTCATTACCAGTCAATCACTTTACAATCATATCTGTTCAGTTGCATCACGTTAATTTACAACGAGTAGATTACTAAAACTTATATAACGGACTCGCAATGTCACAATGAAAATGAAAAATGATCTCTTTCCACTAGTCTGCAATTTGGTCGTTCCAAAATTACAAGTACCTGCGACAGATAAAATTACGGAATCACAGGAAAAGTTACACCTGGAAAATCCTTCCACAATATCCACCGCCTAAAAATTTGGTAGTCTTGGGAGACTGAACGGGAATGAGATAAAAAAGCACTATGTGATGAGCTTCTCAGTAGTGCTCCGCGCCATTAATCCCAGGGACAAACCCAAACTCTACCTCTCTCCTGCGAAATGAATAACACTAATTCATGACTGTTTTTTACAATTCCATTTTTACACATTACACGAAAGTCCGACTGTTGCTGATAAATCACTATCAACATGCAATCTTCCAATCACACCGTTCACTTTAAATGAGAGTATTGTCATCTCCTGCCTCATTCATACAATCAAAACGTCGAATTATATTAGAGAGCTTCCTCGTACTTTTTTTAATCGATAATGATACCTAATTTTATTTTACATAAACAAACTGGGTACGTGCAAATGTTGAACGATATAAAGTGATACAACTGAAAGTAAAAATTTTATTGGAAAAACAAATGGTTTTAAGAAAAGGTAAATATAAATGTAAATAAGGCTTTTCAATACAATCACAACGAAAAGGAAGCATAATGTAAACATGGACTTCAATCAAATAAAAAATGAAAAAAAAAGCAAAAAATGTGGATGCTATAGCACAGTCGGAGCGCGGATACCAAACAGTGGCTTATGTATCGCATCATTCCTCATAACTATCATTACAACCACAATTTTCATATAATTACCATTACAATGGACTGTTCGCAGTGAATAATACAATACTGGTAGAAAGCATCATGTATCCTATCATGCTGTGTAATAAATTTCAAAATCAAATTAAGAAAATGTCACGTTAGAGTTTGGATATACTGATTTACAAAATAATAAATTGATAAACATTACAAACTTGTGAAAGAAAACACAATGTAAAATTTAGTTTCAATAAAGAGATCCCGTTAAACAAAATAGAAAGATGGTTCAGGTGATGGGATTAGTGTAAAGATATGGCGCTTGTCACAATCAATACATCACATTACACAATTCAATAATAACAACTGATAACCATTTCCCCGAATAAAATGATAGCAGTAACAAAATACGGAAATGAAAATATGAAAATGCCTTTTTCAACTCAGCAAACTTCTAATTTCACGATGAATGTTACATAAATAGTCCACATATGAGGGCATATTCGACGTACGATCCTCAACCAGAAATTTCTTCATCCAGGCCTCTAATGCGTCCTGTTGCCGGATTATGAACAATTTCATATGTCGCAATCGATTCATGTTCATCCGATCAATAACGTAACGTACAGCACGTGACCGTGCATTGTCACGCTCTGGCACAATATGCTAAAATATTTACTTGATAAATGAAGAGAATAAAACCGGTAAAGTAGTTGTACAATATTCAAACTTTCAAATGAATCATTTTAAAGACAAACATTCTCCACATTGAGATGTGCAACTGAGTTGGAATTAAAGACATCTTGCACCCAATACTGTGACACCTTTAAACCGATCCATAAGAACATCATGATACCGTTAAAAATTATATATGCTTTTTCTGGAGACAAGTTATCATAAGAAGCGCGTATGCAGACCGGTAATGTTACCTGAAAATCATCACTATGAAAAAAATCAATAATGTAAAGCAATGAAATTTTAAAAAACCATGTAAACTGAATACCTCAGCTGTCTGCTGCTCGAGAACCAAGTCGGAAATAGCAAACACTGTAGGATATAGCAAAGTTAGTGCATCTTCTGTCCTCAAGGATGGTATAAGATGCATTAGATAAGCTCTATCATCTACAGTCATGTCGTTACCTAAAAGAGATTTTAACGGCTCCTTTTCAAGTGATAATAAAACTAGCTTTTATTTAAAAAAGAATTTAAACTGTTTGAAGAAAAAAATAAACTTTAAACTGCTCGATGAAAATTAATACGAGGAACTATATAACTAGAAACTAACCCCCACTAAGTGCATCATTCTTTATTATGCAATTTGCAAATAAAGGCAAAAGTTTCAAGCATTCTGGTAAAATAAGTTGTCCAAGCGGCGCTTGCTCACTACATTTTTCACGATATGTTGCCAACATTTGCGCGCAACGTGCATTCACTGCTTCCCGCATCTCCTTAGGAGATTTGTCTCGCAAAAAATATTCCGCTGAAAAAAGTGAATGATAAAAATGCAAATGCATTGGAAATCAAGATTCAAGATGTCTTTTACCTTGCTTGAAGAGGAAAGATGTCAAACAGTCCAAATCAGCAACACGGTAAAGCTGGTTATAATCCGATGAAACAGCCAAAGCCAGATTGTGGATTCGAAGTCTTCTCTGTCCGCTACATGATGTAAACAGTACAGCCGTCTGTAAATGGGCGCTTCCTTCCGGTAATTTATCATCATGTCGAATTTCTACGTGAATCGCCTACAAGTATATATTCAAAAAACATAGCTTCGCATGGTTATTGTTGAAGCTAAACTTCAATATAACAAAAATTCACTTTATCACAATCAATGGCACCCATCTCCAGGTCCGTGCTATTATCCATGAAGAAAGAACCGAAAAAACCAGTTGGGCGTAAACCTGAAAGTAACAGTGAGTACATAAAATTATTAACCATTATTTTTGAACAAAAAAACTGCTTCATAACTTTGTAATTATCTTCAGAAAGCCGACAAACAATCAAACAGTGGAACTAATACTTACCAGTGGATGTACGTACTCTTATCATTACATCAAACACTATTTCACGACTTATATCGTGGGAAAGATCTGCCAAGAAACGTTCGCTATCTTTTTGAATCTGGAATAATAGTCCATAAAGCAATTAAAGCATTAACCAGTAAATTTGCCCCAAGCAGTAAAAGAACAGTCTATTATGTACATCACACATGCTAAATAAATTACAAACTGATTATAACATACTTCAAAGTATTGATATTTGTATATGGAACCACCCGTTAGAGAGCAAACAGGTGAAAGTGATGCAATATCCACGAAGGAATTTGGGAATAAGAATAAATCTACCGCGCAACCTGCTTTCACACATTCCTCGCCTAGTTTACTGTAAAAATCGATGTGCGGTTGTAAAACAGTCTGAAACAAATATTGTTAAATGATGAAAATACAAAACATGTCTGCATCTACAGTAATATATTACTACCACAAAAGCAAGCAATGACATAAATTCAATATGAATCAAAATTAAGAAAATTTCGCTCCAGCAACTAAATTAGCAGCACTGCGAAAACTCGAAATCTTTGAATAAATTAACCTTTTCCTTATCTGTTCCAAGCAGTTTCCGATCGTCACGATTTTTCAACTTCCCAGGTGCATCCAGCAATGGCAAATTAGTATGAAATATGAACAATTTGCCTGCTCTATCAGCACACTGAAATTCTGCTCGTTATGAAGCCGTGTGAATATTACAACTGTGTATGTTGAAAACTACTTATTTTAGTGAAATTCAAAGCACTGGAAAATATTGAGCGTACTTTCAATGCATCCAGACCAGCCTGGATAACAGGACCAAGCATTGTTTCAGTAATTCGCGTGTCGCCGAAGATCTTTTCAATTTCACACAACAAGCTTAAAAAATATAAATGAATAACTGCAATGAAACGAGCAAATTTCAGGGATTATGATTTCTCATTTTGCGTGCAATTAACTACAACGATTCCGTCGATTGTTTATCAAACATGACATGTTTTATTTCCTCTTAAAATATAAAGAGAGCACTTTGTTGTGGTATAAGAATGATGATATACTGAACCTTACAGAAGCAAGGAAAACATGTTCTCGCATAATTTAGATAAGACAAAAAAAACTTTTCTGGATTTGATCGCTATGTTCCCGCAGTCTACCTTTTGAACCTCTATATGGACCAAACTAATGGTTATGCAGTTGCAATCGTAAACATGGGAAAGCCGATTCGAGTGAAAAATCATTGAGGAGAGAGAGAATGAATGGATGACTGAATGTTCTACCTATTCAGAACAACATCGGCCTCCTCCAAAGTTACTAAAAACCCGTCTACTAGTGGAACAAAAACATCGTTCACATCTCCAACGACCAACATTTCAGGTTGACCTATATGACTTTTAAGATTATAGAAATGAATAGTCTGATCGTATGTTGCAAATCCAATGCGTAAAGACGATTTCACCTGGCCCACTTCTCTGCAACATTATCTTATGAAGCTAAAAACAAAGAAAAGTTTCCAGCTTATAAGAGTGAACTTTTGATTTCGATTGGCATTATGGAGCACAAACTTACAAAAAAATTTATCTCTATTCCCACGAAAAAAACTCATATTTCATTACATGAACGAAACGAACTTGGGTAAATTGTTTAACAAATTTCGAATATTTCTACAAAACACTGATACAAGGCCACACTGCACTGCAGAATACGACACATCCAGCATAAAAATGAATGCAGGTTCTTTTGGTTTCAAACCATTCTGGAAATGATTTTGGGAACACATATAGCTTGGAAAGTCAAACGTTTGACCAATTTTGAAATATGAAAATACGCAGATTATGAAAAAACAGACCTTGCAATACGGTTTCGTAGCAACAAGTTCATAAGATCCAAGATATTGTTCAGGACGGTGTTGGATATCAGTACGACGTCCGGTGTGATCCAAATGGGCAAAATACGAATCATCCACTACAAACAAAATAAACAAGATCACTGGCAAGTCCAATTATTTTTGAATGAGGAAAATAATTATAAGCACACACGTACCAGCTGTGGATGCAAAGCAAAACGGGCATTTGAAGCGACGACCACCATCTTGAAATTCCATGAATGGACACATGTAAGCTTTACAACGATGACATCTTACCGGACCCAATTCTCCAAAATCCACGATGGGAGGTTGGATCTACAAGACGTTTTAAGAAACATACTGGATATAATTATTGATAAAATTAAAACAAAAAAAAACTTAGATGTCAAAAAGAATATTGTTTGGCACTAGTTAACTGAAAAGTAAGTGAAGAAGCTCAAAATAAACCATCATTAAGATTATGAAAATTAAAGATAAAATGCTGCTGAAAACTCATGTTTTTCAAAGATCATGGCAACAACCAAGACCGGATGTTTATTATGCAAATACATACATATGACCTAATATCGTTGGAATTAATTTCGCGGTTTCAACTGTTTAAATGTCAAACTTAATGGTATAATAGAATACCTCATTTAAATGCAAACGTGCAAATGGAGTGACAGCGACTGCAAATGGTATTTGTGAATTTTTTAACATATCAGACGATGCCGGCGCGACATAAAGCGTACACCGCATAAATTTCGGACTACAAATGCCTAAAAACTGATGGAGGAAAGAATTCCAAAATTTTTGAAAGATATTAAATGTGTTTGAAAACTGTGAGTTCATCTCTTTTTTACTTAATTAAAAAATAATGAATTACCAAACGGTGCAGAACACAATGGATAACGAATCTCGGCTCATTTTTTCAAAGACTTTCGAAAAAAATCTTTAATTGCAAGATGCTTAATAACTTGTGGAGGATTACAAACGATAGAAGTTTCGGTAGCTCTTAATTAGTCCGCTCTTCAGAATTAAAAGACAATTTTCAAATTCTAGTTCCATACCCTGATCTTGAGCAATAAATTCAGTTGATGTCAGTGGTGGATGCTCAGCCGTCGGGTAACCGGTTGGAAATGTCCCACTCTTTGTTGAACGATCTTCTTCGATTACTTGAACCTAAATTTCAAAATACTTCAGAAAGTTTGGTAAAAAAATGAAGGTTTCAGCACATACACCAGTTTGCGTAATTTTGAAAATCTCTTGACTTCCTCCAAGAAATTCTCTGAGCTTACAAAGTGAGGAAATTTTATGAACATACCACACTTGGCATCAGATTAGGATCCAAACGGGGTTTCTGTTGATATAATCCTGCAGCAGATGATCCTATTATTTCTCCATGCATTGATGGTCCAGCCATTCCAGTATTGCTGGTACCATAACTAACGGATAGCGCGCCAGGCACTGATAGAACACCAAGAGATCCAGAAGAAGCACTACTGTACGTCCCAGGCATTTGTGGGGGGATAGGCATCTGCGAACCACTACTACCAGCAGGTTTTGGAAAATTACCTAGCCCTATGGGACCACCAAATGTTGGATATTTTGGTGCAGCTTCACTTCCAATTCCTGGTGCAGCATTATTTATGGAAGTGCTATAATACCGTTGAGTCATGGATGAATCTGGCGGTGGTATGATTCCCATCGACGGCATTGGTGGCATAATTTCTGTATTAGGTGACATTTGTGAAAGCGGATGAGAAGATGGAAACATATGTGGAAATGTCCCTGTACTAGGTATTGCAGATATATTCCCACTAAAGATTTGTTTCGAAGGTACAGCTCCAACTGGCGCAGGGGTCAAAGTTGTAGTCATAGTAGAAGATAGAGAAACCTTGGGAGATATTAACTGCGAATCTGAAATGAATTTTAAGTTATTCAAAAATCGTATTAGATAAAACAGAAGAGCTGCATTCGAGGAAAACAATTCCGAAAAACAAACTTGTACGAGGAAGATTAGACAGGATATCACTATTCTGTCGTACATCATTTGAGGAATTACTGGAGGGGTTGGAAACGTGATGAGTTCCACCATTCACATTCATAAGCGGTGTCTTACCATTGTTCATTTCTGCAAATGCTTAAAAATTTAAAAAAAAAAAGAAAAATCTCGACGGCAGTTTTATTTTCGACCCAGGCACAATAAATAATTCTGCAATACGAACCGAGAGTTGAAGTGAACTGCGATGGAAATGCCTGCTGTCCAGTAATTTGCCCACCAACTGTTCCAGTTTGCAGCGTCACAGTCTGCAAGATCATGATAAATTCGAAATTCCAAAATAGCTCTGAAGAATAAGATGGTGAAAAAGTGATCTTTCATGTCATGCGCGAACAAACCTCGCAATTAAGATAGCTACCTGTGGGATCTGCCCATTCTGGGAAACGGCGCTGTCTGGTGCCACATAAATTTGTCCCGCATTAACTGCGCCTGAAATTCGTGATTGAATTCTCGACAAGATTTTACATACATTTCCTAAATAATCCGTAGAACTCTGTGGCAGTGTATAATGTTACAGCCTCGTTTTGTTATATTCTGTTATTTCACCCAATTAATGATTAGAATTAAGTAATGAAAAGAACACCTGGATATGGCACCTGTGTACCTTTCATATTGTAATCACCAACTGACTGTCCCGCTGGCATGAAAACTGGTGGTGCTGCTGCACGGTACATCTGTAAAGATTTGTGAATAAAAACTACATAGAGCACACCTCCAATAGTACACAGACGAAAATGCATTCACTTCTTCCCACCGCCACTAAACCTTTGTCCAAGATAACTGAATGCCGAACAGTGCCATCGTGGCACCACACCGGTACCACTGTGAAACGAATTCCATCCCGCAACTCCTTGGTGTATGCAGTTGAAGGGGAATGATCCCCATAAAAACTGAACAGTTAGTAGTGCTGTGTGCACCACATTTCCCAATGTAATAACCATCTGGACCATGGGTCCTCCGAAAGGACAAAAAGCAATCAGATGATGATGCGACTGCATATTGATCTATTGTGGGGATTCTGACACACAAACGCAGTTCTTAACAAAAATATTCTCCCCCTTTCGATCTCGTCATATTTCGTCTAAACACTTTGTCACTTTTTTGAAATGGTAAAGGTCGGTTTCTGTCGATTTACTGCAGGACATACCATGTTGGAATTTTCAGAAAAGCTCTGACGAAAATGTATCATTGGTCTGTAAAATTGTACTGTGCCATAAGAATATTTATATTTACTGTTTGCAAAACATTCATTCCCCTATCAATTTCCACTAAATTCAAATATGAACACCTATTGCACATTATTTCACCATTGCCTACCGCCACATAATCCAAACGTACCACCACTGCATATAACACATCATTAAACAATTCACTGATGCATTTAAGACAATCAAAGAAACACTAGATCATGCGCAGATCATCGAATGCTCTCACAAGTCCACTTAGATAAGGAAAATTTGAGCAAATTGAAAAAAAAAGCACATAACCCATCGTTTTCGTTTTAAAGAGTTGCCCATATCATCACCGACTTTACATCACAAAACAAAAAAAAGAGAAAGTTATAAAAGCACATAACAATAATTATGTCGCTATACGATTTGGAGAAAAAATGACAACAATAATGAAAAGCAATTAATGACGACAACACGTACAATAAAACCCTGATAAAATATCTATATATGTATTTCTCTTTCACATCAGGGGCATTTTCCTTAAGGCACTTTTCACAACCTTGCAAGAACAGCTACTTATGAACAGCATTAAATAAGGCTCCAAATCGGGATTACAGAAAACTATTAAAGGAACAAATTATATTATACTTACAACGGAGACATTTGCCAGTTTAATAAAATATGGAATTCATATTGCTATTTTCAGAATAGCACATTTGAAAAAGGCAAACCATGGAAAAACGCGACTCACGTTATTATGGACCACTCTTTTTTATCGTTTGTTTATTTTGTTACGTCGTTTGTTCAGTAAACGGTTATTTGAATCCTTTAAATTCTTAATATGAATATCTTCGTTGCCGACACGCATCGTTGCTAGAGTCATCTCCATTTCGTCCTAAATTTTATTTTCATTAACAACTGAAATTAGCATAACTCATTTCATCTATTAATTTTAACGACCAAAATGTCCATAACATCACAATTTCGAGAAAAATCAAATTTTTGCAATGAAAAAGAAAGAAAACTAACTTGCATTTCTACCCATTGCGATTTCTCTTCCTCAAGCACTGAAGCAGTAAAAAGAGGAGTTTCTGGAACTTTCTGATAATGGATGATCCATTTATGGTTCATTGTCTGTTCAATAGTAAAACGTTCACTTGAATCAGTACGCAACAACTTTCTGATCAAATCTTTTGCTGAAAATGCTTTCTGTTGATTATCTAATCACTTGATATAAATATTAAAGTACACAGACAATCTAACTAATAAGAAATTGAAACAAATATTATCAATGGCAACTAAGCTTTGTCAAGAACTAACCTGCTTCGGAAACTCGATCCCATTCTGGCGAAGGAAAAGCATATTTGCCTGTTCTAATCCGATTTTTCATTCCTGGCGACATGGGTAAACCGTTTGCAGAAAAAAATGGTGGAAAACCACATAATCTATAAAGATCGGGTAAATCAAGACCAAAAAACTTGATAAGTAACTCACAACATTTAAACCATTTTAAAAAAATCAGTTTAAAAAAACTTACAGGATATACATAATAACGCCTATGGACCACATATCGCATGACTTGTCGTATTTTTCAGGACCAAGAACCTGAAATGCAACTTCCTCAAGTGCTGACATTTTATTGAAGAAATGCAACAAAAAAAATTGCGGCTCTCTCTAAGTCCATTGAGACGCATGTTCGCGTTCTTACATTATCTGATCAGAACAACTTCTAGAACATGACAAGACCATTTGGACCAGAAACAATCTATTCAACGAGCTGTCATTCGAAAGTCGATGCAAGCTAAAGAATATGCTTGTGACACCAAAATATTACATTCCAATAATATTGGTGCCATCAAAATTTTATCCAAGAGGCGATAAAGTCTCGAAAAGTTGGAATTTACCTCTGGTGCAGCATAATAGGGAGTATAACAGGGCGTCTCTAATGGTCTGGTGTCTGCAGAATCCAAATGTTTTGCAAAACCAAAATCGGTTAGCTTCAAAATACCGGACGGCCCATCACAGCTGAAACAAAAAATAAATAAAATGCATGAAAATAATGAAGCTGGTGTTGGGAAATAAGAATGATGCGACTGCGATCAGCTAAAATTATTAAAAAATACCTATAAAGTAAATTTTCCGGTTTTATGTCTCTATGGGCGATATTCAATGAGTGTAAATGTGAAACTGCTGAACAGATTTCAGACATTATTTGCGCAGCCTCACGTTCGGTGAAAGCTGACTGTGCTCTCTGCTGTATTCGACTGAAGAGTTCACCCCCTGAAACATAATTTATTTCTATTCATTTAAAAAGACCTGCAGTTAGCAATTAGCCTTGCATACAGTTCCCAAACTGTCGTCCTCAATTTTTATAAACAAAGCACATTGCAAACACATTTTGTAATATTTTGGATGATTGAATGGAAATCGAATTAGAATTGCAACTCGTATTCTAATTAAAACACAAACCTTGCATACATTCCATTACAACAAGTAAACATTTCACTTGATTGTAAGTATTTTCATAAACATCTAATATACGAACGATATTTTTGTGATGACTTGCAGCATAGTGAAGTTCTACTTCTCGACGGGCTTTTGGCACGTCACGCAAAACCTAAAGATTTTGTTGAATGTTAGCAGTCAATTTCTAGACTTTATCTGGATAAACATTTCTACCAAACAAAATCTGGCAATTAGTAAACCAACCTTTAAAGCAAACTTCTCGCCTGTTTTTCTACTTTCGCATTCCACAACTTTTCCATTGATTCCCACACCCAGTACCTAAAAGAAACTGAAAAGATTTAAGCCTCAAATAACAATCACTTCCGAAAAGTGGTTCGGGAAGAAAACATGGACAACAAATAAATCGGGATTTATTACAAATATATGTCATATTTGCAATGATAAAAAGAGAGCTTAAATACTGTGCTTTATTAGTTTACTTCCTAAGACTGAAAATGAGCCACAGAACAATGTAAATTTGCACTACTCCAATACTACGCTACCCCTCTTTTTGCAAATCATCACTTCCGTTTGATGACATAACTTTTAGGTTTCACCGCAAAGACAAATATGAACATATTAATAGATGAATCGACTTCTTCATATATCAGATTAGTTGTCCGTTTCTTCCGCACTTGACATAAATGAGGAAATCTTCCCACAAAGTCTTTAATTTACTTAATTTCCACATTTGCTAATAATTATGCTCGGCTTTTTCTATTTCTCTGTTGAGCATCACGAAAATAACATTTCAGATTCTTCCGTATCCTGATGCAGAAGATACCGAAAAAAATACCTGTCGGCTAATCCTATAATCATGAGTAACGGAATGAGTATGGATGGGCATCAAAGTTTGTGAAGCATTCGGAGTAGTTATTTTTGGTGCCTGAAAAATTGCTGCATGAAACACGACAGCATGTGATGACATTCAGACAAAGAACTCCGAATTTGGATTTTTAAACTTTTTCTAAATTAAAGATTCCTAGCTTCTCTCATGAAATCTCAATAATAATATTGAATCCAATAAGATATATTCCGAGGAGCTTTTGGAGAAAACGATAATCATGCTTCCATTTAACTAACTAATGCCAGAACATCTCGGCCAACCAAAAAAACCTAGTCGGTCAGCGGAATAAATCAAAAAATTTGACAGATAAATTGTGAGCCTCTTCTGAGAGGTTCATATTTGAGTGTTTCTAACGGGAATTTAAATCTCTCAAAAGTGGTGTTCTATATTGGATGGTGCTGTAAGAACAAAGGAATGATTGGAAGAAAAAAAAGTCAAATTCGCGCAAAGAAGGCAAGAATGCAAAACTTAAAGAAAAACATCATAACTGGTAAAAAAACTAGCCTATAAAAACCATATATTACAAAACATGATAAAGTGGCTTACAAATGATACTCTTTCATATTCCTCTGCGTCTGGGTTATCCATTTCTCTCACGTTTGCTTCCGTATTTCCCATTTAAAAAATGGAACAGAATCTCAATTACTTATAACTGATACCGCAATTCTTGCCACTTCTGCAGATCCTGGAATAAAACCTTTGGAACCACCGCTCTTTTATTAATTACAAATTGATGATAAAAAGTCAAATAGTAGTACAAAATAGCGTAAACCCATAATAATCAAAAACGAAGGCAAAGGAATATTACCAAGTCAAAAACAGCGAAAATAAAGTTTGAATTACAGCAAAACTGTGGAACTTCAAGAAATGAACATCAAACCGATAAAAGAGTCTCCATATGAGCCAAATCCAATACCCCCCGAAGGTCAAATTCCCCCAACCGATGCAAGATAAGCCAAATAAACCGACCTACAACACCAACCCACAAAATCCTTGGAGAAACTTCAAAACTATTGCCTGCAAGCCTTATCTTCAAGGTTTATTCATTGCATTGCAGCTAAATAATATTCTTAAGTAATAATAAAAACCTTAGCGGAACCCAAAACAAGAATTAAATTTGGGTGACTTTTTTCCCAATTACGCCGTCACTCATAATTTTATAATCTCACAAAATAGTTTCGAAAACTTTCTTGCCATCAAAAAATTGCAATAGACTCAACAGGTAACCATATAAATTTTTTTCCGTTCTCAAGCCCTTTGGTCACGTTTTCATTTTGTGAGCGAACTATATACGAATATATAGGCCCTCACGACTATAACAAGTCATAAGAAAGCGAGACTAGGAACTAGCCAATGCATTCCATATTCTAATTTCTGACAAAAATGGGGAATAAAATAACTGTTTCATTAAAATGGTTTCAAAAATTCTTTTTCAATAAACCTTCCAGTAACAAATGAAAAAATTCGTGACAAAAGAGGAATGTTGAAGAAAACGTAAGAATCTTTTGAGTGACCATTTACTAATCAATGAAAATCAACCCAAGATGGCTGCTTTCAAAACTTTACCACACTTATTTGTCATTTCCCTGTCCTCTACCCTCTTCCACACAAATCTTATACCAGTTCTGAACACCGCCTAAACCGCAACCTTATCATATAATATTAACGCCAACTGACTTTTTTAATAAAACATTCTTTCTTAAACAGCATGATGTTAAGCTAAGGACTAAATTTATTTCAGGCAGATTGCATTTTGTATCGCTTTGAAACATATAGATATTTATATCTTAAATCAAAAAGACGATGGCAATCATAGACGGTAACCAAAATAAAAGAACTCAATTATTAGGAAAACAAAAGTATAAAACATAAAAATTCTGGAAATTCATGTCATAAATCACATTACACAAATTTTTGCAAAAATACCATTAGTTTGGTGCTGACCAAAGTTAATTTTTCACTGAGAATGAATTCACATTAATGTGGAGCGCTCTATTAGAACCAGGGAGTTAACGCGCCATATGCAAAACAAAAGAATACATTTATAAAAACATTTATAAAAGCCTAAGATCATCAGACCGTACAACAGTAACAAGAATGTAGAATTTCATCATCATAGTCCCGAAATCCAGAATTGACTTTCAATTAATTCCGGAATTTAAGACTATTTTGTGTGGTTCAGAGTCAAATGAATTTTGATATTTCTCGATTATATTAATCACATTGTTTAAGCCAAACAAATAATTGTCATCTATAGCACCATTAGCGGGAAACACATGAGAGAAATCGATCACTTTAACAAGAACGTTTGGTGATCGTTCCACACTTCCTTCATAAGCAAGCAAAATGGATGAAGCATAGAAATGATAAACCTGAAATAGTCATAACTTATTATATTCTCATATCTTTTGCCAAATATTTCCATTATTCCTGGATGAAAACTAGATAAACCAAGAAAAAAATAAAAACAGAAGAATCCTTGAGTGTTTAGCAAAGCTCAGACTCAAAATTGAAAGTCTGCTGCCAAAATTATTCATATTTGATTCTGATTTGTTGCTATTAAATTTGTCTATTTTTGGATAAACTTGTAAAAATTTGAAAACCAAGTAAGATACCCGTTGTGAACTGAACCATTTTCGAAGTTTATATAGTTGTTCCAATGCCTGTATTGCTACGTAACTTTTTCCGATGATTCTTCCAGAGAAGAATTCACGAAAGGCTAAAATTTGTCTATAATATGTACTCAAAAAATTTCTAACGCATTGGATTCATATGTAAATTTTCGTCAAAAATCTCTAGAAGTATAAATAAACTTCTGTTTCGAATATTTGATAAGTGAATTAACTGACTGATTACGGGAATGTGTAATCAGCAACAGATAAAATGTGAAAATTTTTAGATTTCCACGAATTCCCCCAAATATATCACTGGGTGGTGTTGGTTTGAAGGAAATTATTTATTGATACGACCACCTTTACAGTTCTCTTATCAAATAAATCAGACTTGTTCAGTGAAGCAAATGTAAAATATCGATTGCGCGATTTATTATGCAATCGATATTTGGTTACCTGGGAAAGAATAACAGAAAAAGGGTGAGCTCAGATGAGCTCCCATGGAAACTATTTTTGAATAATGACCAAGTGGTTTTTCACTTCACTATGCCAGACTGAACTTTTCTACATTCATTTTCTCAAGCACACTTAAACCAAATCTCTTTAATGAGACACCAGTTAAAAAGTTCAATAGGTTCAAATTCTCTGGCATCTGCCACTCTTGCATAAATTATCTCGTCCCAATTGTTGTGATTCATCTTCCAACTGTAAACTTTTAATCACTATGTTCAAAAATTTTTTGTTAGAGCAAAGCAACTGCAGAATTAAAATAAATCTCGATATGTTATTATTATTGTTGAAAAAACTTAGAAACTTCAAGAAATTTGTACATATTTAAAATCGCCAGTAAACATAAGTTTCAAAGATTTTGTTTCGGTTGGCTATAAAAAAGTTAGCATTTCAAATTATATCGCTGTTTACTAATTTCCGCAACCAATAAAATGAACAAACCGTCAACAATATTTTCCAAATTCCTTGATCTCCCCCACTGTTTATCACGAACTCGTAAATCATTCTTGTCGCAATCAGAATGGATCTCAAGAAAAAATATGCGTAAGCATGGATTTCTTTAAAAAAGCAATGATTACTAAAAGTCCAAAATTCCAAAAAAATTTCTTTTTCTGAAATTAATATCAAATATTCTATTTCCGTCCTGCTATTTCTCAATTCAAAATTTTCGCGATGTCTTTTCAAGTGAAAAATAATGCGGACAATTTGAATGCAATCTGCCCAGCCAATGCAGATTATAGATTGTCTATACTTTCCTAACAAAAAGCAGCTGTATCACTCAAATAGTGAGGTAAGGTTCCCATAGAGATTAGCACATAATTAAAAGGTCGCCAAGCGAGGTTAGAAAAATACCTCACTCACTGAACACAAAAGCTCCCCTTTGTTCAACTATCAATTATCTGATTTTTCGCATTATTATTTCCACACACGCTATATAAAATTCTTATAAAATATTTGAAAATTCTTGTCTTTTTGTGATTCAAAAACAGACTATTAAAAAATTCTGGAATGTCTGTATTCATGACAAATGAACCGTGACATAAATTATACCCGATAACCGGTTAAACGAAAACCAAGTGTTTCTTGTTCAGGATACTTTACCGCTTCGGCTAATCTCTTCGCTTTTGTTGCACATGGATCATAGGTCACTCTGCCCATTTTGATATCCATAATGCACGGACACTTATAATGACACGCTAAATCCTCCATAACGATCAATTCCAACTCTCAAAATTTGAATATATCTATATATACCTGGAGAAATTAGTGTTGAGAAATCTAATAAATGGATAAACTTTCTCGATATTCTATCCCTCTCCTCTATTGCTTCCCTTACATATCATTCAGTTTCCTTACAAATTAAGAAAATGAAGTTTATGCCATCATTTTATTCTGAGGTTTCATGTCTAAAATATGCCAACAAGAGAGAAATTCACAATCTGCAGTTCCTTTAAATTGAAAGAAAATATTTTTATCAGATCAACTAATCACCTTTTTCTTCAGCTCGTAAAGTTTTTAATCCGTAGAATTTCGGAACGAATGAAGCAAATTCCGTTAAAACATCATTTTCATCGTTTTGACGCTTCAAACTGTTATAGAATGCTACCTGGAATTATTAATCAAATTAATTTATTTTTTAAACGTTTGTTTGACGCGTGACAGATAAATTACGGGCTTTCATATCCCAGGAAAATGATGTGTATATTTGTTTGCTCACCTGTTGCTTCAAGTTAAGCAAATAAAAATTGCGTTATATATGGAATTTAGACTGTTTCTTGCACTGCGGATGTAGGAAAAATATCAAGTATCATTTATAAACAAATGATTCAAAAAGTTATCAGAGCAACAAAACTCTGAATTATAGTATAGGGATTAAACCAGCCACGAATGTAATCCTTTTTTAATAGCGTATTGGAATTACAATAAACAAACCTCACATACTCCTCGCACACCTTCCTGCACAGGTTTTAACAGTGTCTCACTACCAACCTCCTTTATAAGTCCTAAAAGCAAATCCTGTAACGAAATTGGAATTCATATGAGTTTTTATTCCAGAAATTATTTTGATGGAAATCCTAAAATTTTTGCACGAACATCACACTTCTATGACAACCTATGAAACTAAGAAATGAACCAATTTCATGCTTGCCATTCCTAACCACCGAGGGATGATGTCCAGCAATTTGTTCCCGGTACCATTCGTGTGATATTGGCAACTGTAGTACTGCAGTATTAGTTTGTATACCAGCCATAAATGAAGTAGCAATAAAATTAACTCCAACAACCAAGAACACCTTGCTTACATAAGAATTTTTACCTAAACGATGTAACATTCCACGACAAGTAAAAACGCATAATATATATGTTTCAAACGAAGCTATAACTGCCAAAGCAAGTAACATTACGAATTGATTTTATGAACTTCAGAAGATGTAAAGTCAAGAAATAGTCAAGTTTATAAGTGATTTAGTATTTAAACAACAGAAAGTTTTGACTCTTTTTATTCTCAAAATTTCGACATCATTTAGGTTCCAAATAAATAATTCATTCTCTTTATGTCACTGAAGACAAAGAACGACACTGCGATAGTAGATTATCCAGGACCTTGCACTCAACCATTTAATCTTCTACGTATATTCCGACCTGACTTCCGTACAAATGAAGTCCTGTAACTACAGTTCATAACGCTTTGCTGAAATACCCGAAATAATTAGTTAAAAACGAAAGAGAAGTGAATTAGTGTTATATGTTTATATCCAAGAATTTTATCATTTATCATAAAGTTCTCTGCAAATATCTCTCGAGTTACCTACTAATGAATCTCACGCATCCCAACTTCGATGATTCAACTAGACTAATCAAAATGATAGTCGCAAAATCCCAAGAAAATATATTCTGGTAACGTGGAAAATTATGCAAAACTATTGCTGACAGAAAACTAAGAGATTAATTCAAAACTAGCAGTGAAGTTCGAGCAGTAATTATAACTATGCACACAAATACACACAAAATACACATAAAATCAATTGTATCTGACACCCTGCAAGCAAGAAAAAACTGAAAAATGAAAATTTTTTAGCAAATAGTAAATTTGAAAATCTGGGAGAATGACAAAGTTTAAAATAGATTGCGTTGTACTAATTAATTTAGTGCTTTCTTTACTTTAACCTGTACAGCGTATCACATCTTTATTTGATTTATACGGAGTATTACAATTTCAAAAAGATCGATATCCAAAGATTTTTGGCATAATGTTTTCACTATATTAAATATTGTTAATTTCATCTGCAAAGAGCTTATATCCCAGGAAACTTTAAATCCAGCAGAGACAATTTTATTACATCTTAATAGGCGAAGGCTAGACTAACAAAAGCGCGAAAAGTACACTTACGGCTAAAGCAAAATGGTAAGGTAGATAAAACTGTTAATTCTTTTCCGAAATATAAACTATTGATATGTAATCAAATTGTAAGAAAAAAACCATGTCCTAATGTTTTAGAATCTTTTAGGTTAGTAAATAAGTATTCTAATTAAATACAACAAAAAACAGGCTCGCCAAATGGAGTAATTCAAAAAAGGGTTTAGTTCGGAAATTTGATTCCTATAAAAAACATTATTTCGTTCGTCATTTAGTATTCTAAGTATAGAATTCGCTTCTTTTAAATCATGTTTCATCATTCAGTTGAAACCGAATAAATTACTATGAGAAAAGATTTCATATACCTAATAAGTGGAGTTGTGCTCATGTGAAACTGAAAGTCTTCATCGCTGAAACAATAAATGTATAAACATATCAAGAAAAAAAAATCATGCTGTTAAATGTTTTCGAAATGTTATAAAATCCGTGGGAAAAGACATAACATAGTTTTTTTAAGACAGTGTGCAAGATTCTAAGCATGATTCCTTTTAAATTACCAACATTTTAACAGTGATCGTCATTTAGTTTCCAACATACTTCTACAAAGTACAATTTTTTTATGGAAATACATATAATTCAAACATTAGTAATACTTAAGGTTGTTGGTAAAATCTTTTCAACTTGTGTGATGTCCTCAAACTGCGTACTTTCGTTGCTCAATATATTGACATACGTATGATTTCGATTCACTACGGTTCGTTCTTCGGAAGAGATGTTACCAGATAGGCTGTTATAAAAGCCGTTTGAAATTTCGGTAATTACGGGGGAGAGCGAAAATGCCGAATCGGAACCCCGTTGAATTGGAGTTGACCTCCGACCATGCTCATTTGTCTTTTTTCTTGGTCTTCTTTTCCGTCTGATTTTATTATTATTACTTTTACAATTCGTTAAGTATGGGATACACTCTGACAGATCCACCGGACTGAAATTATTCGGCAAGTATTGGTCGTCTGTTTTTATCCAACTTCGATAAAAATCGCTCTCAGGAGATAAGTGTGTCCTGCAAAAAAACTGCGTTAACTTCTCACACAATTTGATTGTCATCCTAGAACATTTCACCTTTCAACAAAATTCCCATATTTTAAAACTTAAAATTGGACATAATAAAAGCGATGGTGAAAACACTAGAATTCTAGCATAAAATGTAAAACAATTATCCAGAAATTACGGTTGCCTCAACAAGTTCGCAAATGTCAACTAAAATGACAACGCTATAAACCGCAACTGAAACTGGTGATATTTGAAGGTTTATTCTTCAGACTTAAAGACCAAGTACTATAGTACAAGAAATGTGTTTATTTGAAATCCCGAAAGTAAAAAAAAAACACAAAAGGTGAAGAAAAAAAGAATATACTTTTCTGAATCTTCAAGGAACTGAAATGTAGCACTATCAGTAATATGTGATGCTCAACCGTAATGTTCATTTGAAAAAGCTATCAAATGCGACTTAAAAGCTTAAATTGTTAACATTCAGCGAAATAAATCATACTGTCAGAGAAACCCAGAGATGAATACAGTTTATGAATTTTCAGCAAGAAAGGAGAATTCAATGGCACATTTATGAAAAATAACAACTTCACTAGAATTCGCCATCTAACATAACCCGAGAAAGAGACTTCGGGAATATATGAAATTTTTTCTGGATGTAATATTAAATTACACAAAGTATGGAATAGAAAAAGCAAGGCCAAATATCCGGAGAGGAGAATATTTTGTCTTTGGACAAAACAAAACGTTTTTCAGTCAATTCCGCAATATAATGATTTATATTTTCGTTAATTTTCGTTATCTGACAGTTATTCTATTTCAGTTGCCTTCTTAATGACAATCGATAGAGTGTAAAAATCTATAATCTTTTTACTCACCTCAATATCTGAAAATATGAACTTTAATTTCTCTCAATTTAACAAAATATTTTGTATTGTTTAGTCTTCAACAACCTAGAACATCTTCCAATAGATTAAAATTGGGAATCACAAAAGTAATTCTGATTAAACTCAACAATTTCCATGTTTTTTATAGCCTTTTTATATCGGTCATGACTAATTTGTTAAATCTCGATCTTAGCTGCAGTGCTACTCTGAGTCTCTCCCTAAGTTCCGCTAAATATTTCGAAGTTCACGCCATCGAGAACTACGGATAAACCACTCGCAAATCAGGAGTACCAGAGCCCATATACAGTCATAGAAAAAATAAAACCACCGTTTTCAGGAGAGAGTTTTAAGAACATTACTTTTGTGCTGCGGAAGATGCTTCACCAGCAGTGTTTGATTGAGCATTGGGAATTGGCATCTCGGGATGCTTCCATTGATCTGAGGGAGTTTTGGGGTTCTGGCCAGGTTGCGGTGTTTCTGGTAGGTTATCTTTTTTCGTGAATAACCTGGCCAAAAAACCTAAGTAGAAATGAGTAAATGCGTTTAATTAACATCAGTTTTTTTATTTGCTTTCATATCTCATAAACATTTTTTTGCTTGAATTCCACAAGCTTTTCCCATAATTTACATTTTCCCATAATTTATACGATCTATGAAAACAGTTTAGATTTTGAAACTTAAATAGAATTTGTTCCATCTCAAATTTTGGGTATTGGACGATGTATTTAAAGACCTTTCTTAATTTTCAATGAATTTGACGGTGCGTAGCCGTTAATGATACTTTGTCCAGTTTGGCATTCTACAGTGCATTTGGGAGGGATTTTGATGGAATGATAAGGTGCTGTTGGAGGAAAACAGATATACAGTTGTTCCAAGTCATATTCCAAGATTTTCTGTTTCAGGAGGGTTTGAATGGCTTGTCGAAATGTCTTCGCTGAAGGAGGTTCTATTTTTGGATATTCTTTACGAATCTCATCCAGCAAAGCATCCAAAACTGCTGGACGGCCACTTTGATTCATTTTGAATACCATATCACAAATAATATCTAGCAACGGTACCAAATGCATCTGATCAATTTTATGCATTCCAATATTTTCCACATCACCTGAAATACCATTCCTTTAATCTTTCGCAATTTGATATTTGAATTTGACTACTGGTTTTCCAAGAGCACAGAAAGAGTGATATCGTTTTCAAGAGATAGGAATTAAGTAGGAAGATATTAATCAGTTGCAACATTTCTTTAAGTTTTATTTTTTGTCTTTTTTTCCAAATCGTTAGCTGATTTTTCAGTGGTGATGAAAACTTCAAGAAGAATTGATCCCTAAATTTTAGTCCTACCTCTGTTATCAAAATTTATCGCCCTGATTTTATCTCCGACTCCCTCAGTGATAAGATCAGTAATAAAATAAAAGAAAAATTTGCTAAATAATTTAAATTAATTTTGTATAAGATGAGATCATGTGGTTGTGGACATCTGTTTGCATGTGTAAATTTGCAAAAGTAAAGCTTTTATGGTATCTATTCACTTTTCCTATTTATCGGATTTCATGCTAACAGGTGTGTTCAATTCCCTCTCGTGAAAGCACCTCCAGACACCTTCTTCGTCCCGAACAGGTGCTCACCTCTCATCCCTCTCATTTCAATCTTCCCATGGCACTCATTATAAAAGCACAGTATCATCTTTATCCATATTTCTATTCTATCTTGTAATGCCTTTTTATTACCTGCTGAGAAAATCCAAGCATTTAACTTTTTAAATTCAAATAATATTCAAATTTCATCCATGTTTTCACTCCATCTTGTAGTGCTTTTTTATTACCTCCTTATAACTTGGATGAAACTCAGAGTTAAAAAAAAAAAAACGATGAAAACGATGCAGCCAATGATCACAGATTAAAAATGTTTACCGAGACTTTCGATTCGGTATCCTCTTGCTGGTTTCAAAATCCGTCGAATCCAAGCATCGCGCAGTATTTGCATATGTCGCTCGCTCATTGAAGTTATAAATAGTGTTGATGGCTTAATGTAGCCAACATATTTCGTAGAATTTATTGCTTCCACTAGACTCGAATTCCAGAAGCATGCTTTATTTTCCTAAGATAGTATATTTTGCAACAAAATATTTCGGTAATAGAAATTAAACAAAATGTACATATTTTCACATCCTTTAACCTTCTAAATGATAAAATAACCCGGAGATATGAAAAGTAACTGATAGATAACCTGGATGAAACTTTGAAAGAGCTTGTGTCCGGTCACTTTCTTGTCGGCAATTCTTTGGAAGATAATTCCAATACAAGGCGTGAACATTACTATTTGTTCCCTATAGCAATATCAATTTATAATTCATTATATTGAAGTTTATAAAGCGACCGTTCATTGCTATCATCGAATGTCACTAAACATGAGTTAAAATGTTGCCACTCTTTTTATATATCACACGAGCCAGTCTGATTTATTCTTTGTTCATTCATATGATGGTAATTATGGGAATATAACGCTCATGAAATAATAATTAATGGAGAATTTTCGCAGTTCAGTCAATTTAAAATTAATCTCTCACAACTGCGAGAAATACTTTCTTTTACTGATCGATTACTAATGGTTTATGAAAATAAACACTGCTTTACTTGCTAATTTATATAAACTACAATTTGCATTCTGTCGCGCAAAAGCAAAATCTTATGAATAATTAATTACATCCGTTGAAATTTGCTTTTTTATTTAGAAATCAAATCTGTTTGGAAGAATTCATTTTAAAAATAGAGGCAAAATATCAATAAGATTTTATTTTGAGAACTAAAGTATAAAATTGTAGGATTGGTTCGAAAATTGTTAATTATTTGTGTAAAATGACTAATCAATAATCAGTTAGTATTGTGAAAAGATCGTCCGTTTGTAATAGTTATGGGAAATAAAATAATTTCAATTGATTTGCTTCATAGGAAGTCCTTACCAAATACGAAAAATTGCTGTAAGCAGTATTACTTAAACATTTACGCCAATCAATTTGGTAATTAGAGCATTCAAGATTGAAATATGATTGAGAACTGATGAAGTTTTTTTTTCAATTTCGTGCAATTTCGTTTGTCTTGAAACAATGACTAGTACTCGGCATACACCAAAATCATTATAAAAATAAATATGAAAGTAAAGTATTGGAAAAAGTTATTATGAAGAAGGAGTGAAATAGCTGATATGGCAGTTGACCTAGATTAGAAGACGGGAATTAATTTTTTTTCACTTATTCATTTCCAGAGATAGAGTTATTAGTTTTAAATATCACAAAAGTACATTTGGATCAAAGTACCATTTGGATATGCAAAATTTATTAAAATTGATGCGTATAAGATTTTTTAAAGCTGTCAAGCTGTCAAAAAGCGAAAAACTTACTTTCAAAAGCGACTTTATATAACAAATTTACAGGCAAAAAGTGGATTTACAAAAAAAAAAAAACGGTTATTTACAAAAGCGAAAGGAATTTTCCTTGCGACAAAAAGTAAATGATATGAGTATAATGCAGCAGAATTATTGCATAAATTAAAGGAAAGTTAATTTCATTTAAAATTTTGTAATATTTAAACTTAAAATCTCTTATGATCCACTGAAATTTAGATTTTCCTGTGAGATAACTATCAATGATGAATAAGTTTATAACATCATATATTGCTAATTGAATTAGAGTAAGCAAAGGTACGAGCAAATTGAGGTATCACCTGTCTTTCGATTTTCTCATGTCCTTTCCACATTGTGCTTCTCTCCGCCTTAATGAATACAGCTGTCATATTCGTGACACACCTCTCTATTATTCAGAAGATTGTCTCTTTCATCCCATTTCTTTCTTAAATGTTCACTAATAGTGAACGAACTGTTTGTTTCATGAATTAGGAAATTTAATTTGAAATTTCTTGTTTTTTCCAACATCGTAAAAAGCGATAATTGATGAGTCTTTGCAAATAAAAAAGGTAATCAAAAATAAAAACTAAAGTTTTTACCAAAAATATGGATGATTTTTAAAAAAGCATTAAAATTATTGGATTGTTAGAATTAATAAATGGCGGTTACAGAACAAAATCTGTTTTGATAGAATGATTATTTTGATGATAATGAAGGCTGGGAGTAATGAAAAACTAGTTAACGATATTTGCGTATTTTGCTGATCACGAAATAGCAAAACAGCGGATTGATAGCATCAATGAATCGTTGAGTAATAAAAGGCAAAAAAGTGCGCTGCTCAAAATCTACTTTTGCTGCATGTACCGAAGTAAATTTATGAAGTGTCCGTTCACTAAAGCGGGTACCATTGTTCAACATCCTCAAAACAACCATAATTTACGCTGAGTTCCGGTCAAAAGGCGGCAATAATAAAAAGAATTAACAGAGACGAGGATCTTATAGATAATTACTGGTTTACGGCTTCTTGAAGTACCACTTAGAACATAGATTTTGTATTATATACCGCTATCAAAGACAACTTATGACGTAAGTGCATCAGTAGCAGCAATGATATCAATGATTGGTTAATGTAAGGGAAGAATTGAATGAGAAAAGTTTGAAGATTAATGTAAATTTAAAGAAATGAATAATGATAAATGTTTCATCGAAATTATAAATGTGACGTGGAAGAGCACATGGGTACTGTAAGGATTTCTATAATATCCATCCATTGGTTTGATGTCTTACATGTTTAAATGTATAATTACAGCAGTTGTGCAACCATATGTCATTAATCAACCAAAATTTCTAAATATTTCCGACGAGGCATTAATAGTAGCTTCACTTTGACCTAATTATTTCAAGTGATTTATTTGCTTCAAAACGTGAAGATTTTTTTCATTCAATTTCACCAATTTATCAACGCCTATTCATTCTTGCATTAAATTAATACAATTGCTTTTTTAAAAAAAAACTGATAGATAATTAGATTAGATTCAATTAAACGATTTTAAAGTTGTTATTAAAAGTAATAGTTAGAAAAGTGCAGGTGAATGTTGCGGAAATTTTTTGAAAGTTGCAAAAAAAGGAGAAAAGAGAAACATGTTCGCACAAATTTGGATAAATGGTTGGAATGCACTTGTCGAGCAGATGCTTTCTGTAAACAAATGTGCATTAAATTAGGGCAACATCAATTTTTATCCCATCCTCAGAATCAATGCTATTCCTGTCATTTAGGATATAAAAAAGCAATAAAGCACAAAATGAATCATGAGTGGTTCAACCTTTTCACCTCTTTCTTTACCTAATCTTATGAGAAAATAACTTGAAACCAACAATTATTTTTTTAATGAATATATAAGAAACTGAAAACTTTGGCATTATTCATTAAGCGTTTTACAGACTGAGCTGAATCATAATCAATCTCTTCTAGCAAATAATAACATTACTTTCACTCCATCACTTCAGTAATATGCAATATGAGATCATGAATACATCGTTAATAGATGTCTTAATGCTCTCTGATCTTTAACCTTCTTTTTTCAGTAATTTTGCCAAAACAGATTGAGGGGAGGTCGCAAAAAATTTACGAAATAAATATCTGACAGTCAATTAATGGATCTCAAACGTTTGATCAGATCCTTCCAAGAAAAAAAATGTGATATTTAAAGCTCTAAATATTGACCGACCATATTTCTTTTTACAATTATTTTTCTATAGCTTTGAAAATGCGCAAAAGATAGCGCATAAGTGAAAATGTTTTTAAGATGCAATAATGTTATAAAATGATAGCATCGGTTGGTTCCGAATGACATGCTGCCGTTTATTTCTTTATATCGGCTGGGATACAAGAAGGATTATTTGAACAATAATATAATCTGCTTCCAGTACATTACTGCCTCAGTTTATTATGACATTATTCCTTCGACATCTCACATCTGCTAATTCAATCGAGGCTGTGATTTATCTGGGTCAATTAATTTACAAGATTAATAAACTAATGGCCAGCATCTTTTCTGGATTTCAAAACTTGCTGGTTTAGATAACAGTCTAAATGTCTCGACTACCAGAAGTAATTAAAGTATTATGACATGCCTTTTTAGATTTTTCCATTTCAGGATTTTTCATTAATTATAGAGCCACAAATAGAGTAATCCAAAAAGTTTAAATTTCACTTTTTGAATTACTGTATTCAAAAAGAAATATTACGGCTCTGAAAAAATCTGCGCATTTTCAAAGCTATAGGAAAACAATTGTTCCATAACTATTATAGCCTGTCGAAAAAAAGACATGATATATTGCACATGATAATTTTGTATGAAAATTGACAAAAGTAATAAAATTTTATTTATAGCATTAAAAAATTTATTGTTCCATGGAAAATGTTAGTTTCCAAATGAGTCAGAGTTCAGACAATTAATGTAACGATAATTCCAGTAGGAATTAAAAGGGCGAATTAAAATTAAATTTGGAATGTTGGCACTTCGCAGTGCTGATCATTACTTTTTTTGAATTTATGGGAATGGATACAACTGTTAACAGGGCCATAATAATATTAATGACCGGTGCAAGAGTGATTTCGTCATTTGATTGATTTCTGAATAATATTAGAATTAGTTTTTGATTTTAAGCAATGCTTTTGGATTATAGCCAGCTGATCGGAAGAAATTCTCTTTTATAACTATCATAAATAAGCAGACGTTGTGCACAATAAAATGGAAGAGAAGAATGCAATTGATTTTCTAATATCCTTTATATATCACTAATTTGTTTAAAAATTGCATCTTTTCCTGCATCACATACATTGTTTCAAATATACCACTAAAGCGAGGATGGCATGACAGCTGCTCAAATCACTGGATTGAAATTTGAGCAACTGTAATAAATAGTACCGTTCCATTATAATTAACTTCGGGCGAGAATTTCTCAACATTGTCTAATTTTTTTAATAAAAGTTTCGATTAGTTCAGAATACTTTAAAATCCTTTTCATTACAATCAAAATTTTGACCCTAGCAAATTCAAAAAAAAAAAGCCATTACTTCTTAAAATGAAAAATAAGCACTGTTTTAGTGTAATCCTGACCATTATTGATTTATGCAAATAACCACAAATATAAACAAAAAAGGAAGATATCGCTCCGGGTGTGAAGTTGAAACGAAGCGCTCATGTGCAAGTACTTAAGCATCCTGGCGGCATGCTTAAGTACTTGTTTGTCATAATGAATTCTGAGTGTTTTGGTGAAACGGAAAAAAGAAAAAACAAATAGAGATATGTCCAGAAAAACAAATTCAGGATGCTAATAAGGGAGGAAAATCGGCGTATGTCCATTTCCTGTCACCTGTTTTTGTTTCCTCCTTTATTTTTTCTTTTCTTGTCTCATTTTCTCAACATCTTTTACAAACAGTAAAATGGATTTTCAGAAAAATACTGGTGTGTTGCTACTCCTGCAAATGTATCAGTTTATTCTCCTCCAAAAACATTTCAGCCAAAACAATCTTCAGTCAAACATATATAGCACTTAAATATCAGATCAGAACGGAATCTAAAAGGATGTAAATCTCTCATCACACTTTTGTTACACCGTGGTAGTGGCTCTGCATCATTGCATCAATAAAACAAATGCACACACTAATGATGTTGGTTGTTTTTATCTTTATAAATAAGAAATCCTGAAGTTTTCTCGTTCTTTTTCCTTTGGTCATTCCATTACCTTCCCTTTCTTCCCACTTAACAATAAATATTCTAAAATGTTTGCAAGAGCTGATGAAATATTCGAAATTGATATTCCTAAAATAGCTGATTATTTGATGCATTCCTGATATTTCTGATTGTTGTGAAAATTTTCGAAATAAACTTTTTCATTATTCTCATTAGTATATAATGCGCACTTTACTGAAATTTATTAGCCATTTATTTCCGAAGGCATTCTTGATCACTGAGGTTTAGCTTTTTCTCTAAAACAGGTATGATTCATTGATTTCTGAATGTTTGAATGCCACCTAACGTGACCAAATTCACTTTTCTAGCAAAGCTCTCTGAATTTCCAATTCCATGTGAAATCATTTTAAACTGATAAATTATCGGAATTTTTTTTCAATCGGTGTTAAAATTTGTTCTTAGAAATTAGCCTATTTTATTAGAAAAATTTATCGATTACTTCTACAGCGCGTGTTTATTTTCTTACTTAAAAGTTATGCCCAATTTTTACAATTATTCTCATTCATTGTTCTCTGAGAAAATCAAAAAATCCCCATTTAAATTTCACGTTTTCTACAATGTATTGGTTTTTCTGGAAATAAAATTCTTTGCACGGCAAATGTCATTCTTTTTCACAAAATATAAAGAAAAAGGAAGCTCAATTCTTGGCTTCAAAAAAATCAAACATTTAATCTTCCTAACAGTATACTCCTAAACTTTACTGACATCTTTTTGAACTTAAGTGCAAACATTCTGTTTTATGTTTCGTTGTTTTTATTATAATTTATTCTTTCCGTCATAAAGTAAAAAGGAAAATTGAGCTATTCCCCTATCTAACAGCCAAAATCAATTCATCACTGCCTTAAGGCTCATTTTCGGCTATACATGCGAAAATTTTTTTAACTTTAACAAGTTATATTTTTGATTGCACAAAAGTCGTATATATATATATACGATTTTTGAACTCATATATATACGTAAATATATATTGGTTCATGCGCGCTTATTGACAGATAGAAATGGCTCTTGTTTTCAGCACATTTTATGAAATGCGAACTAACCAGGTTCGTTGCAGAATGGTGCCGCATTAACGAGTGGTGCGAGTGATTTGGTAGCACTTTTTTTGCAATGAAATTTCAGCTTTGGTCATCTGGCAAATGCGTTCGTGAATGAACTTGGGGTCATCTAATCTCAAAGGTCAGTTGGCGGAGTTGTGCAATAAAAATCATTAAATTCCTGCACGAAATTTTGAAAAAGACGATAAATAGAATCGGTAAAGTGAAAGAAAAAAGTGATAGTGCAATGTTGTTGAAGGTGTTTTTGCAAAAGATCACGATAAGTCGACTTTTATAAAATATAGGATGTTCAGAAAATACGTTATTTTCATGGAAAAAATTGTATGTTCCCTCAAGCCAGCAATTCACTTTTACTTTTATCGGGAACAAACATGTTAGTGGCCGTAAATTTTCCAAGTTTCCTTCCCGGGAAAAGTTGCTTCTAAATTACAATTTACTTATGGTTCATTTTCAGATTAAATGGTGTAATTATTTGGTGGATCCGTGCTGCTCTTCCTAGATTTAACAATATCAACGAGATGAAATCGTGGCGGACCATTTATTTTGATATCTGTCGCAGGTATTCCGCCATCAACTATTCTTTCTGCTTACTTTGATGTAAATTAAAGCAATTCTAAGCAAGTAATGTTGCAGAAATAATAATATTTTCATGAAATGCTCACAATGGATTGTGCCTGATGACGAAAATAATGAGAAATTATTCTCATATTTCTAAATCTAATTTATTCGTATCCTTACTGTTCTAAATATCTATTTTTGGTACAATTATCCGCTGTATTCCAAATCCTAATACATTAATACATTTTATATCAATCATCTTAGATTCAAACTTTGACGAAATGATATACTTCTTGCAGATGTTGTTATTTGTATATGAAAACCGTCGTATTGTGCTCTGATGAAAGTTGCTTCCATTAATATTTGGACCAGAACATTTTACTGGAGCAGTAATGAGTTTTAATTTCGTTCCTACTTCTACAAAGTATGTGTTAAAAACTTTCCATAACAGTAAAGTTTTTGGAAGTAAATGTTTTGGTCAGCAATACTTTGTAAAGTTTGAACAGTTTTTTTTTTACATTTTGATATTTCAAAACATTTCTCATGAGCTTTTATACTTTTTTATTTTCTCACTTTTTAATAGCGATTCTTTTTCTGATCGTTTTTATGGGCCCAAAAAAAGACCTTTTCATGCACTAAAACTTTTTTCACTATGTACTGGAACGTGAAGAGAAATGCGGCTTTTCGGATTATTTTACACTAACACTTATAGCATTGATATGTGCATTTAAGTTCAAACTTCGTATTGCGGTATATAAATTGAAACTACAGTCTTTATACATTGCAAGTAGGAATTTCCTGCCGACCCTGTTCCTATAATCTTCCCTAATCAACTTTGATTTTTGTTATTTCGACAGGTTATGACTTTTTTTAATGGTCAAATTTTCTGAAATATATTTTAATATTTCTTTTAGCAGATCTATTAGGCACACTTTTCTTATAATTGAAAGTTGCTTGGAATTCATGAGTTATATTAATGTATTAATTGTTTCCGAAAACTAATTGATAGAGCTGTAGGTTTTATTTTTCGTTATAGGTGATTACTTGGTAAATGATCATTCCTACAAAAAGTGCAATTTGAATAGTTCAATGAAATAATTAGCTTACATATGTGCAAATTTTTGCGGTAAGGTTGGAGATTCTAGTTATATTACCCGTTTCCTTGAAAAAACGAATTTTCGCATATTTTAGTTATTAAAGAAGATTAATTATCCATATGCACATTCTACCAAATAGTGTTACTAACTAGTAAATACTGTGTTACAAAGACAATGAGGAGTGAATAAACAAGAGAAGAATGGAAAGACTTGAGCCAGGACATAAAGTTTTCAATAAGAATTCGCTTGCTTGAGAGGAATGAGACATTTTTATTAAGCAAAAGCGTCGATCGATGTGTTATTGCAAAGCTGCCGCAATTCTTCCCCCCTCCCCCTCCCCTTTCCTCAATCCTTTTGGCGTCATGCTTATTCTGAAATTTTATGCCTATTCCGCGGCACTATACACCTTCCATTCTTTAAACCTTTTCGGTCTCGATACACGCAAAGCTGTTTTTCATGATATTGTGGAATTTATTTTTGAATTTCAGTGCAAGTTTATTATTTTTCCCGTTTATAATTAATAGATCTGTGTTTGTTTAGAATATCTTCGTCCCTTAAATTGTTGCTTTATTTGTACATTTCTTTTCTGACAGTAATTTAGGAATTCACGGATTCAAAAACTAAGGTCAAGATTCATAGAACATCTAAATCAGAGTTCCATTTGCAATAAGATTTTCGTGATAAATAAGCAGTTCTGCAGGCATTACGCAGGAATTGCATTCAGACCGACCAATCTGTATCTGCCAGGGACTTTCTGCTCGATAGGTGCAGGCAATAACTGGAATTGGCAGTTAAGTGCGCGAGAAACTCCAATAACACAATTGTTTGCTCAATACGAGCCCAGCAATTGCTGGCAGAACGGTGCTGCAGCGGTATATCGCAGCCGTAGTGCTGGACCCTCGAATTTCACGGTGGATTCTAATGAAGTAATGAATTCCGTTTATCCCAATAATCGACGCTTTGCTGCTTTGCAAAGGTTCATTCTTTTTGCTTTATGATACTTAACAAAAATACTTTACGCAAATTTTGCGAAATTTTGTCGCTTAAATAGTATGCGTTTTGAATAGAGAACTTGTTTTGTAAGCTAAGTCTAATTGCTTTTCCAATCAAGTTTTCAAAAGAATAAAAAAGCCATGAAGTTGTAATTGGGATTTTAGATTTATATGCAGATTTTATCAGCGAATAATCACTCATAATCTTGTGCTGGGTGATAGACAGTTTTTTTGAGAGAGAAACTAAAATAGGCTAGGATTCCCAATGTTTTACCCACAAAGAGTATAGGCAAATATTCATAATAAGATGATTCTTTCCTTGCTGATAGTCATAAGAGTAAAATGCTTGCAGGATATGTTGATTGAGTCTCGTTTTTGTGTATTCTTTTGGGTATTTCAAGGCTCTCTATCCCTATGAAAAAATTGGAAAAAAAAATCTTTACAAGAATGCTTTTGCTGTATTTTCTGTTTCTTCTATTTCAGACATCGCCTTCAAAATAATGTGATACTTTTTCTGGACATAATACTGATTATTAACAATGAACATATCTCCACTTTCTGTATACTAACATTTTGTTTCCCGTGTCTTATTCAATTGACATGCATAGAGACATTCTGGTATCTATAAGTTTTAACTGGTGTCTCTTTTGACCATACATACAGGGTTTGTCTACATGCCATACATTTCTATTTTCTACTTCAACTTTCTTTTCCATGAAAGTAAGATTTTTCTTGTCCTGAAACTGTTTTAATATTAATTACTTAAATTTCAAACGTTTGCCTATGGAATAGTATAGAAAGATTTTGATTAAAGAAATAATGAAATATGAGTCGAAATTTTCAGTATAATTGATTTATATATTTATGCATATGTTGTCACTAGTAGATTATTTATTCCGGATTCTTTATAACTGTATGATACTCGATTTCTGTTTTGCATGAAATTACCATATGTCATTATTCCAAGAATTTCTTTCTGGTTGCTAATCTACTGTCTTTCATATTTTTAGTTAGGATTATTGAAATGCAATAGAATACATAGTGAAAGATGAGCTACCGAATTGAGATTTTTTGCAGCATTTTATTGGTAAAGTCTTTGCGTAGTATATGTTTCATCCTGTTCGTTATTGTGTTTTATAGTTTCTTTGATATGTTTTCATGCATTTATTTTCTTTCTCATTTTTCATCGTATTTATTGCTAAATCATGCACATTTATAGATTCATCACTAACGTCGAATATTCTTGACTGCACTTAAAGCTGCAGAAACAAACTAATTAGTTCTCGAGTTGACTTCTCTTGTATGTAAGGACTGCTTTCCATTGAAATTTTGTATATAAGTAAGGACTGACTTTTCAAAGTTGTTGATGTTATACTATTCAGACAGCACAAATCTCTTGACGGAATGCAACTGGACGAGTATGAAACAAATGAAGTTCGACCTTTGATTCCTTTGGACATTTCTACGGCAAATACGGATATGCTGTCATCTCAGTATTCTGGACCATCATTGTCTAATCCTACAACAACAAATGCATATTTTTGGAAGCAACCAGCGAAGTATGTTTTATCTTAGAATAAACTTTTCGAATCAATTTGCTTTAAGTTATTGGTTTTGTTAACCTGTCTCATTTTTCTCTTTAATGTTATAACCGTGATTTAAAGTTTTTCAGCATATATTCGTATAATGGCGACACTTATGGACCATCAGACACACAATCCGCTCGCGCTTATAGCCTCTTGAAGCAAGATTATGAAATGGCTATACAAAAGCTGAATTCAACTATGAGTTCCATAAAAACATTTTGGAGTCCTGAATTGAAACGTGAAAGACAATTACGAAAGGAAGAAACAGCAAAACTTGCAGCTTTACAGAGACAAGTTAACAAAGTTTTATGTTGTATGCAACTTTATGCGGCATTCCGCTGTCACCAATTTGTGCATTTACATCATTTAATAATAGTGTCTGCTTTATTGACAATGTAATTTTCCAGACTGCACCTCAGGATGGATCTGGATTTCGAGTTGCCGAGTTGGAGACAAAACTTGAAAACTGTCGATGCGAGCTAGCTGAAAAAGATGAAACAATAAGGCGGCTCATGGAGCGCACAGCTGCAGTTTCATATCGTGATGGTGGCAGTCGTATGGCTGATCTAGAAACACGATGTAATCAGTTAGAATCGTTGCTTGAAATCCGAGAAGAACAAATTAGGTCAATGGAACGACATTTTCCCCAGCTACCAACTGCATCTTCTCAAGCTGCTAAGGTGTGTATTTTTTCAGTAATTTTCGTATAGTTATTCAAATAAGAGTTACTGTTTACAAAACATTTATGTGACATTTTGATTTTAGGACCAACGAATAGCAGATCTAGAAGATGAAATTACAATGTTACGATCAGAACGGGCAGAAATTCCGCGGGATTTCACTGATAAAACCATAACTCCTCATGAGATCAATACACTTCGTATGAAAATGGAACGAAGTGAATTGGAACTAGCCCAAAAGTTAGCCTTCCTCAGATATCGAAAGTTTTATTTAATTTCTGTAAGCACTTTTTTCGAGCATGTATTTCTGATTTTCACTTTGCAGGGTGGCTGAGCTCTCTGCAGTACAGACGCGATTACAAGCTGCAACGGAAGCCGTCGAAGATCTTAGGAAACGTGTTGAAGTTTTCCGTGAATCATCAACAGCAAAGGAAAAGC